GCTGGTCTCTGGGCTGAAATGCAGGTCCCGCCAGCGGGGTCCGTCTGCAGCCAGGACCAGCACTTGTTTTGCTGCAAGAAGCTGCTTGCCCTGCGCGTCTCCCTTCGGCAGGGTGGTGCGCCCGATCCGAGGCACTGGTGCCGAGCAGGGCAGGGAGCAAGGACGGGGCGGGGGGACTAGCTCAACATCTAAAAAATAAAAATGTCTGGAATACTCAGCCTTGGAAAGGAAGGGCCTTCTGCCCCATGCTACAATGTGGATGAACCTTGACCTTATGCCTAGTAAAATAGGTCAGTCACAGAAGGACAAATCCTGTATGATTCCATTGCACGAGGCACCTACCTGGTCACGTGCACGGAGACGGTGGCGGGTGGGAAGCGGGGAGTTACCGTCTCCTGAATATAGAGCTTCAGTTGCAGGATGGTAAGCATTCTGGGGGCGGCCGGCAGTGATGGTTGCACAACAGTGTGGACGTACTTAGTGCCCACTGAACACTTAAACATAGTTAAGATAGGAAATTTTATATTATGTGTATTTTACCACAATAAAACAGTGGGAAAAAATGGTCTTACCTTCTTTAAAGTGACAATCCCAACATAAGGCGATACCATTGATATAAATGTAGAGACAGCCCTGGCCAGTGTGGCTCAGGTTAGAGCATTGGCTGGGGCCCGAGCACTGAAGGGTTGCAGGTTCGATTCCCCGTCAAGGGCCTGAGTACCTGGGTTGCAGGCTCAATCCTGGTCCTGGTTGGGGCGTGTGCAGGAGGCAACCAATTGATGTGTCTCTCTCATATCGATGTTTTTTTCTCTCTCTCTCTTCACTCTCTCTAAAAATCAATGGAAAAAAAAATCCTCAGGTGAAGATTAACAAAAAACATAAAATTAAAAAATGTAGCCTGGCCGGTGTGGCTCAGTGGTTGGGCATCGACCCTTGCTCCAAGAAGTTGCCAGTTTGATTCCTGGTCAGGGCACATACCCAGGTTGTGGGCCCGATCCCCAGTGGGCCGCATGCAGGAGGCGGCCAGTTGATGTCCTTTCTCATCGGTGTTTCTATCTCTCTCTCTCTCCCTCTCCTTTCCTCTCTCTCTAAAATCAATAAAGAAAAAAAATTTTTTTCCAATGTAAAGGCATACAAGACACTGTCATGTAGTGTGTAGCTACGTGTGGTGGGCATGCACAGCTGTGCTCAGAAATGACTCCTGGGTGGTGGCTACTTCTTGGGGAGAGCAAAGAGGAAGAAATTGGGGACAGGGGTATATCTCTCACATTTCTTTCTTTTCTTTTTAAAAAAAAGATCTGTGGCAACCACAACAAAGCCTTTACTTCTGATAAATCTGACTGGTGGGGACATGCATGTCTGCTACATTATTTTATATATATGGATATAGTGCCTAGTTGAGAAATATGAACTGAGGGAGAAGCAGATGAGTCCTGTCCGACATCCTTATGACCTCGTCTGACCTCACAAATTCTATTTTCCAAATGCTGTCTTTCCTGCCATGTTGTCACTGTGTGAAAGATGTCTCTTTCCTCTTCATGTGCCAACTTAACAAAACACCGAGTTTCTCATGCCTCACCTTATTTCTGTGTTTCTGATGGAGCAGTTGACTTAACGAGAGTGAATAATACTGTTGGCCAGCCATCTAAGTGATGGGCATGTGCTTTAACCTTTAACCTTGGCTGTTTTCCAGTCTTCCCCCCACCCCCTCCTGGTGCACAACACCGAATTGTTTCTACGGGTGACCCCTTGAAGGCAGAGGCACATTCTCAGTCTTGCTTGCATCTCCATGACACCCACACTATACTTTATATACACGTGTGTAAAGTTGAATGAATGGAAAACGTTTACGTGAACAGACGTGACTCATCTCACTAGGTAGGCCGACTAACCCGATCTGGTCTTCAGAGAAGTGCCTCTCAGCCCAGACTCCCCAGGTGTGGCCCCCCAAGGGGCTTTGTCTGATGACAGAAATGCAGCGACGTTATAATTTCAAGAAGACAATCCGTTAAACAGACGGAGCCAACGGGGTGAGTTTGGGGGCTGAATTCACTGATCTGGAAACATAGTTGGCTTACTGGCATCGGACTGCCAGCTTGTGGGCCCGTCACGTCTGAACACCTTGTTTATTCTTGCTCAACCACCTTGAGTCCGCTGCCGCCCTCGTTTGCCACCCACTGTGTAAGAGGAGACATCACCCCTTGCGTCCTGAGTGCCCCAGCCTGGCTCGGAGAGTCACTGAGTAGCAGAGCTGGTTCCTCTCGATGGTGGGGGAGTTTGCAGAACTGCCTGCCCAGGAGCCACCTTGTCCGCTGGTGCAGGTAGACGGTAGACACGGACGGGTCTGTAACAGCTGACCGCGGACAGGCGTTGTCTACCCCTAGGAATGGAAGACGGTTGACCCCTTCCTTCTAAGAGAAGTGGCGTGGTGCCTGGAACATTGCAGGCACCTGATAAAATTCACTGAATGGTTAAGTATGGACGGATGGCTTCCAAGCTAAAAATGGTTGGTGGATTTACGCTCGTTTGACCCTGGCTTTCTATTGGACAGGGTCACTGATTTCGGTGTTGTTCCCCCAATTCACTGGCAAGGGCTCAGACTCTATCTTGTTTCCTGACATACTCGTGGGGCCTGACGCAGCGCTTTGCACATGACAGATGCTAGCAGCTAATCCTCCCGCGGTGCGAAGTTGCAGGCAGTGAGCTAAGGTCTCCACGTGTGCTAACACACTGAGCCTCACACCCCTTCAGACTGGGATTGTTCTCTCACCTCACATGGGGGAACTGACGCACAGGGAGACAAGGGACTGGCCCCGGGCACGACAAGGAGCGAGGGATTGCATTCAGGCAGCCCGGCTCCAGGGTCCATGCTCTTCATCATAAGCTATATTACTGCCCACAAAATGCTAAAAAAGTCTACTTGATATTACACACACACACACACACACACACACACACAAATACATACACACACATGCTCAGAGGATGTGGCAAAGACTCGGTCTTGAGCGGAGCCTCTGCCGAGCCCTGGTGTGGACTGATCACAGCTCCTCTCCAGGGGCCACGTGCCATCCAGTGACGTCACTTCCCTCACGCTGCTTCAGAGCATTCACTTCTTCCTTGGTACCTCAGCTGCATTCTCCACAGGTAGGATTTTTTTTGAGAACACCAAGTGAGTGTGTGTTTGAGAACATTTCCAGGGCGTGTCCTTCTCCCCAGGATCAGACGCGGACTTGATTTGGTGCTAGTGATACCAGGTCTCCCCACACATCCGCAGGGGCAATGAGTCACGGACCAGAGCATGCACCCTGTGCAGGGCAGAGGCCGTGGGTACAAACCCTTCTGCTGCAGGGGACCCAGACTGCTTTCTTTTTTGGGGCTTATTCTGGAAAATTCCATTTTATTTTATTTTATTGTTAATCATCACCTGAGAATACTTTTTCTATTGATTTTTAGATACTGTGGAAGGGAGGGAGGAGAGAGAGAGAGAAACATCGATGTTAGAAACACATTGATTGGTTGCTTCCCGCATGACCCTGGCCGGGCCAGGGATTGAACCTGCTACCCAGGTATGTGCCCTTGACCGGGAATCAAACCCAAGACCCTTGGGTCCGAGGACCGATGCTCTAACCACTGAGCCAATCTGGCCAGGGCAGAATATTCCATTTTGTATCTCTTCAAATATGCTTCGTTCAACAAAACACAGAACGCTAGGGGCCCATCATGTCATGGAGCCCAGACATGAAGCAGGTAGCTGGATTTTCCCTTACTCTGTGACAGTATATATGTTACAATTCACCATGAACAGACTGAGTGATTTGATTTGAAACATTCAGGGTTGTTGTTTTGCAGAAATGACGTGTTCACTAAACACATAAATACATTTTTCAAATGAATCTGAGCGAGGACATATTTAGCATTGCTAGAATTTGGCAGTCCATTTCCCCCCCAAACCCCAAATTATGTGTCTAACAAGCTGTGGCCTCAGTAAAATGTTTCTTTAAAATATAAGATAAATGTGTAAAATATTGTAGCTGAGCACACCAGGGAACACGCGGTACCCTCTGCTTCAGACAGTGCGGTTAGCATTGTTTATTTTTAGAAGCAAAAGTGCCTTGCAATTTAAGCACAGCCATTCAAACATTTGTTCCACTTAGCTGAGATAAGACATCATTCCATTCGACTGCTCTCATTTTGTTTTACCATTTGATTATCCTTGCAAACTGACTTTGCTATAGGTAGAAATTGAAAAATTTAGAAGAAAAAAAAATACATATATGAGGACATTTTTTCATTTATCTTCAGATAGAGTGGGAGTGGGGGAGGGAAAGAGAGAGAGAGAAACATTGATGTGAAAGAGGCACATCGATTGGTTGCCTCCCGCACGGGGACAAACCGCATTGAGGTACGTGCCCTTGACTGGAATCGAACCTGTGACTCTTTGGTCCAAGGGCCAAAGCTCTAACCGCTGAGCCAAACCCACCAGGGCAGAAGAAAAAATATTTTTAAAAATCACACACATTTATTTTAAAATTCCTGTCTTTTCTATGAAAATCAAAAGGAAAGTATAGGATAGTTACACATACCATCAATTTGCCTGTGTCAGTTCAGGAAGAAATTCTGGACTCTTCTGTCTATAGGCCTGTGTGGGCAACACACTTACATTCTTTGTAGATGAAGCCCTGCTCCCCCCGGTCTGTAGCTTCTTTTCCTCTTAGGGCTCACATGCTCCCTCTCTTGTTATACTTAGAAAACTCAGTCAGGAAAGCTGGAAATGCTCACTTAAACTAGAGTGTCAATGACTGATATCTTTAGTGCGCATTATCTCACTTAAAGATAATGGGATGAGAGGCTGAAGCCAAAGGTGCTTAGTGAAGGATGAGCTAGTGAGAGGACGTTTCACCTGGACTGCAGCCTTCTGAAGCCCACCCCAGGGGTGTTCACTGGGGACGTCGTGCCTGGCTCGTGTGCCTGTGCAGACTGGCAGCCACAAGCCCTGGCTAGCACATGGACACTTTGACTGGGGCACCTGGTGGCCGGTGCTCAGAGCAACTCACTAGGGCATTCCCCGCAAGGCTGGGAGCAGCTTCTGTGTCCCAAACGTTCTCCGAAGCGTCAGGTTCCGTGAAGCTGTGTTGAGAGTGCCAACTGCCTCTCTGTGCCCTCTGCTCCTCCGTGAGTTCCAGGTGGGCTGCCGTGTACCTGCTCATGGCCATGACCGATGCAGCCATGCAGAGGGCGAAAGAGCCCTAGGCGAGGCTGTCAATAACAGGACAGTGAGGAAAGGGCGTAGGGCTATGCTCCAGGGCTTCCTGTGGGGGGTCAGTCTGGTGAAAATCCAGCTCCCAGGTCCAGCCAGCTTGGATCTGGATTTTGGATCACAAGTTTCAGAGCCCATCCCACGTGGTGCAGACGACGGTCACAGCAAATTCTGGCGTCATCACGCTACGTTGCACTGGGGCTTTGCACCCACCTCTTATTAACTGTAGCACCTTAAGCTGGAGACTTCGCCTCTCTGTATCGGTTTCCTCCTCTGCAATTCTGGGATAATAGGCACACGGCCCGTGGGGTGGTTTGAGGAACTCAGTGAGTTAATGCGTGGGAAGGACTCAGCATAGCATTGGCTACCTGTTACTTTTTGTTGTTGTTGTGGCTCTATCCCGGGACATGGGCTTTGGGCGTTGCTATTTTTCTATCCCTTCCCCCTGGAAGCCTATTGCCTCCTGGGACGATGGTCCACGCTTCTCATCCTTCACAGACCCCAGCAGAGTGATTGCTGAGAAGGAGCCCCTATCACCCGACATTTGTGTGTGTTTTCGTGGGCTTGACTTCTCAGGAAAGACAGATGGCTTCGCACTCAACCACTGAGCAAAAAAAGCCCATGAGTAGGTAAGTTCTAACCTGTCTCCAATCATCCTACATATGGCTTGCCAGTCAGGAAGCGTGTGGGTAACGAACAGACGTGTTCAGCACACCCGGGAACAGCAGCACAAGGGCGTGAGCCCTGGCCGCGCTATTTATTTTGCAAAGAGGAAAGGAACACAGGAGTTGTTTTACAGGATGAAAATGTAAGTGTTGTATATATATATATTTGCAAGACGAGGCTCCGGTTCGGAGGTCCACATCAAAGGGGACCCTGTGGTCTCTTATGACACGGCCGAGCCTTTCTGCTGAGACACAGGACACATGGCCTTGTCTTTCCAGTAGACACAGTGTCTGTGTCTCCCCCCATAAAAATATGTATTCGGACTTTCTCCCTTCCGCTGTGTTCAAGAATGTAATGACAATGATTTCATTGCTCGAGGATTTTACTCTGCGCCAAGCATTTTAGCAACATAATCTTTTAAATCTATGAACACATTTGAGACAGGCATCCTCACTTTCCAGGTGGGGGAACTGGGCTCCAGAGAGGTTAATTAGCTAATCCAGTTCCAAGAGTAGCAAGTGGCAAAACTGTGGCCACGGTCGGAGGTCCTCCACCCGCGAGCATCCTCGCCGCTCCACCAGGACTGGAGCCCCCGGAACAACTCACCCGTATGACCAGCCGTAGGTCCACGCGTGAGGCCTCCAGTCTTCTGGGCCCAGGTTCACAGTGATTTGAAAAGCGGTTGAGTACATCATGTGGGCCACCATGCCTAGGAGCCCTGCACAAGAAAAGCTTTGTGAGCCGCAGTTAAGAATGGAGTTTCTCGCCCAGCTGGTGTGGCTCAGTGGACTGAGCGTCCCGTGGACAGAGAGGTCCCAGTTCGATGCCCGGTCAGGGCACACGCTCTGATTGTGAGCTCGATTCCCAGTAGGGGGCATGCGGGAGGCTGCCATCAATGTTTCTCTCTTACATCGACATTTCTATCTCTCTCTTCCTTTCTCTCATTCTAAAAAATCAATAAAAAAATTAAAAGGAAAAAAGAATGACGTTTCGCTACCTGGCGTGAGTTGGATGTAAGGAGGCCGCGAGCATCCTCCGTGATCCCTTCTGCAGCCTTCACGGTTCACCTGTGCACTAATTTCTTCCAGTCGGGAGTCCACGCAGCCGTGTGTCCCTCTGCCACGCCATTTCTCCCATGACCACCTCTTCCCATTTTATCACACCCCTGTGTCCCTGTGCTCCCAGGCTCCCATGTCACAGCACAGAGGAGGGGCTAGAGCCACACTTGACAGTGTTCTGTTCTGTTCCATTTTCCCATGTGAATTGTTTGCTACACTTACGAACTAGGGTACCTGACACAAAGACACCAGGTGTATGTTCTGGACACCAGACTCACATGGCAGTTATCAGCGGGCATGAACTTAGCTGCCAACGTGATTTTCTTTCCTTTGCAGGTGACTTGGTCTTTTTGCCTGGAGACCCAGAGGATTTTTCTTGTTGTTTATCCTCACCCAAGGATATTTTTCTTTTAATTTTTTTTTTTTTTAGATAGAATGGAAAGGAGGGAGAGGGAGAAAGAAAGAGAAACATTGATGTGAAAGAGACACATCAATTGGTTGCCTCCAACCTATTGAACGACTCTGACTGGGGCTGGAGATCGAACCTGCAATCCAGGTACATGCACGGGACTCATACACGTGACCCTTTGATCCATAGGCCGACACTCTAACCCCTGAACCAAACTGGCCAGGGTGGGTTTTTTCTTTAGTATTTTAGTAGGATGTCTAGAACTCGGCGGTATTGTGCCAATTTTTCCAGGAATTTGGAAAGAGTTTTCTATATATACATTTTGGTCTTTTGTTCAAGAAAGTTTCCTTGAATTTTACTTTTAAATATTAGTTGTTTCATTGTTTTATCTTTCTTTTTCCAGGGATTCTAATAGCGAATATGTTTAAACGTAACAACTGTATGCTGGGCAGTGGCCAACGGGGGAGGGGCTTCTGTGGTCCAAATAGAAAATAGTTTTAACTGGTGGTGGCAATTTATATATTAATGGAAATGTCTAACATCCTTAGGACATACCTGAACTTCCAAATCTGTAAACATTGTGGCAGACATCTCATTCGCGCAGGTGGAACCAAAAGAGACGTCCAGAGGAGGCCTACTCACGACCTTGAGGGACCTTGGGGGATCCCAGGACCCAGGGAAGAGCCCCCAAGAGTCCATGGCCTGGCTCTTTGCTACGAAGAAACAGACATTGGACTTTGTAATCCTTTTCCATGGTGATGAGACTCGGGAAAGATGTTTTACAGTCACCGGGCCCAGCAGGGACCTACCCACTGGACTGATGCCCACAAACTGTACGGAGCTTTGTGTACCCAGCCCGAGAATGAAGGAAGCCATTGTTCAGGTTCTTTCTTGGTAAAAGGCCCACTTAGAAGACCAAACTAAGTTGCTCTAAAAGTTGCTTGGAGAACACGGAAAATTAAAAAAAAAGGTGGTGGGGGGGTTCCTCTATTCTTATGGGGTATTTACACCAACCTTGGATAATAATTTTCAACAAGCTACCATTCATTGAGTGCTTACCTTATACTAGGTACATCCTTACTTAGTCATCACCATAGTCTTTTGAGATATCGATATCAGAGAAGTTAGGTAACTAGCCCAGGGTCACACAGCCATCAAGTAGCAGAGGTCTGAACCCAGACAGGGCTTCTCCACAGACTCCTGCCTCGTCACTGTACTACATCAGGCGATTCCTGTTCTCAGAGCAGTGTCCTCCCTTCCCGGGGCTGTGACAGGACACGCCGATAAACCTGACTGACCGTTGATGCTGACCCCTTCCTTTTCACCAGCCGCATGTAGCGTCTCTGCTTCCCCAGCGGGATGAACTCAGTGGCTCTTCCCGGGGCCCACCCATCCTGCCGAACTGGCCACTGGCGGGAAAGCCCCGGCCTGAAGCTTTGCAGTCCCCTGGGGTCAGGCTGCGGAGTGTGCCTGTCGGGGCAGTACCTGCGAGCACCGTGAGGATGGCGACAGGGGCGTCCACCTTGACCCAGCGGGACCCGGAGCTGCGACAGCTTGCTGTGGAGCCCAACAGATGGCACTCGTCAGTATCAGAAGGATGTTCAGGACCTCAGCCCCCACGGACAGCCACAGCACACCTGCAGGGCGAGGGACGGCAGAGGCTGGGCAGCGAGGATTCAGCAGCACCAGGATATTCAGTCCGTAGGTGGAGCTCCCTTCGGAAACAACCAGCGAACCACGAACACCACGGGGTGAAGCCCAGATTCCTCTGCTGAACCTCGGAACCTCCAGCTGGCAATGGAATGGGGGCCCTGGGGCTTGAAAGAGGAGTTTGTTAAGATTATCCTCAGCTGGGAAGAAGAACAATAAAAAAACTAAGGCAAAGCGCTGATGTGAGTACATGAGAGACACGACAGTCTCCATTCCCCCGTCTCCATTCCCCAGTTTGAAAATTAGCGCGTTGTGTTGATTCCACCAGAACGCGTTGTCTTTTTAAAGACGAAGCTACACAAACGTACACAGTGGCAGAGGACTCGGAGAGTTTCAGGAGCCCTGGTCAGAGATGCCGGAACCTCACTTGTTTTTGTGCAGGCCAGTTGTCCACCCTCCGGATGGGATCTCCCCGGCGGCTTTAAGGAACTGAGTCGGCTGTGGAGGGGAATGGAAATAAGGGACCAAAAGACAAACTCATATTTGTAAAAGGCCTCCTGTAAGGCAAATTAGGTACCGGGGACACGGCAATGCATGAAACAGAAGTGTTCCCCGCCCTCACGAACCTATATTCCAGCGGGGTAAACAGACACTAAGAAAGTGAACACAAACAGGTGCAGTGATAGAGAAGATGGTGTGCCAGAGCTCACCTCTTCCCAGGTCCGCGTTCACCTCGCGCCGACAGCTTGCCGTTGGCCATGGTGGGAGTATTTACACCACGGGAGGGGGCAAACGCTACAAATCTGGGCTTTTCGTCACCCCCACCAGGCACAGTTGGTTCTTTAACAGTTTCTAGCACCACTGACTACGGAGCACGTGAAGAGAGCCCTGAGTTCTAGCGGTTGGGTTCAGTTTAATGAATAACCCTTGCCTCCTTCCCCCAACCCCAGCAAAAGTAATAAAAACTGTCCAGATTGTGAGGAGAGCTGGTGGACAGACATAAATAAGGTTTTTACCTTGTTCTTTGGCTGGTACTATGCTCTGGAAACTCCTACAGGTTTCACCTAGGAGATAAAGAGAATGTATTTATAAGTGGGGTAAACCTTGGCAACGAGGGGCAAACGGTGTTCCTAGCTTCTTGAGTGTGTCCCAGGTCATTTGGACAAGGACTAGGGAGTGTGGCAGACTGATCCTCCCTGCGGGAACAGGACACAGTTCTGCCCCAGTGAAGCCAGGCTTGGCCACGTGACTTTCTTTGGCCAATGAGTTGGAGCAGAAGTGAGGTGGGTCACTGCTGGTCAGAAACTTGCAAAACCAGTGTATTATCCACCTGGTTTTTATTTCCTTGCTTCTGTGATCACAGAAGCACATGTCTAGACAGAGTCTCCATCAGCCTGGGTCCCTGAATGGCCACAGTGAGGAGACATCCCCGTCATCCTGAAAAGTACATATAGAATGAGTTACAAATAAATGTGTTGGTTTAAGCCACTGGAATTTGGGGGCTGCTTGTTACTGCAGCAGAACCTGGCCCATCTGGACGGATACTGTGAACCTTAGACCAGTCATTCTCAGCTTCCCAAATATCCATTACAATACGAGTCTCAAGTAATTGTTTCTGGTTGGAGGGAAAGGAATACAGTCAGTCAGGATTTGTTTTCATGGATGTGAACAGAACTTTGTCTGTTGCTAAGTGGCCCAGTTACTTGTATTCCATCGTGCTTTCTGGAGTATGAAGGGAGAGGGAGGATGTCCTGGGCACGCACCAGGGAGCAGGCAGAAGCCAGCACCAGACCTGCTTTGTGCACCTGGGAGGTGTGATTTGCCTTTATCATTGCCGCGTTGCTCACACTGGCTGGCAAAGCTGTCACTGCTACCTTAGCTGTACAGTTGCTTTGAAAGAGCATAATATCCGCTTGGTGTTCAGCTGTCAACGAATTCTGGTTTCGGGGTGAGCGACAGATGGAGGATTGAGACCACAGCAAATCACCCTCTGGAGTCCTGTCCCAGGTGGGTGCCCACTTTCTCTCCACTAATACTTCAGCCCCACATTGAATCACAGACTGTAGAGTGGGAGGAGCCTGGGAAATCACCTGGCTTTTCCTGCCCAGTTTAAGGGGGTGCATCCAGAGACCTCAGAGGCCGAATGGCTGGCGAAGACCAGCAGGAGGAGCGGTTTTAGCAACAGAAGGCTGTGCCACCGCATCACTGATCCAAAGCCACCCAGCGGGCAGCGGGGAAGGTGCCCGGGATGCAAAAGTGCCCGAGACACAGGGAGCTGCTCCCTATCTGGGCTGGTAGCAGCCAAAATGAATCGAGATACAAAAGCTAAGGGGCACAGGTCGTCAACGCTTCAAAGGAATGGCTTTCCCATCTCTGAAAGTGGTTCTTAGTCCCCACATTAGCCTTGCTCTGCCCAGTAACTGAGATGATAGGAACGTTTCTCTCACAGTTGACATGCCCGCACACCTTCTTGGAACAGAACGTTTCTGCGGGGCAGTGCGGGCGCACCTTGTTTTACTGCCTTCATTCGGTGTGCTCTGCAGACATTGCGATCGCAGGTAAGACACCCCCACCAGCAAAATGTTACAGCTCGCTGAGGGCTCGATGATGGTTGGCATTATTTACCAATAAAGTATTTTTAACTAGTTTGTACCTTGCTTTTTTTTTTATCCTCACTCGAGAACATTTTTACATTTATCTTTACATAAAGCGGGAGGGAGAGAGGGGAGAAGAGAGAGAGAGAAACATCAACGTGAGAGAGACACACTGACTGGTTGCCACACATACGACCCCAACCGGGGCCGGGGACAAACTGCAACCGAGGTATGTGCCCTTAGCGGGAACCGAATCAAGGCCTCTCTGGTCTGTGGGCTGATGCTCTAACCACTGAACAAAACTGGTCAGGGCTCCACCTTGTTTTTTTTTTAAGACTTAATGCTATTGCACATTTAACAGACTACAGTATAGTGGAAACAACTTTTATATGCACTGGGAAACAAAACAATTCATATGACCTGCTTTATTTCGATATTTGCTTTATTGAGGTGGTCTGGAACCCATGCAGTAAAATCTCCTAAAGGTCGTCAGCCTGAAGAGTTGCCAGCTCGTCCTCCGGAAACGGGGCCTCGTCCCTGCACCCTGCACTGCCCTCTGCCCGGCTGTAGGAGGGGTGAGCAACCAGCTGGCTGGGCGGCTCTGCTGGGCTACTCCCGACTCGCACGTGCAGCGGGCAGTCCTGTCACATTCCCGTCCCCAGCAAGTGGCCCGAAGGAGGGCATGCGCCCCGCCTGGGGCTGAGTGCCAGAGTCAGGGACCCAACTTGGGATCGATGTGATCGGACACTTTCCCTGGTCGATCCTCTGATTTTGCAGCAGCACAGTGTTATGGTCACAGTGCAGAGGAAAATTCGCCTTTGTCCCTGAGTGCTACCAGAGAGGTCCCCACAGCAGTGGGGCAATCTCAGCACACGCAGCACTGCGGGGCTGACGCGGCCCTTTCTCCACATCATCTCATCGGCCCGTCACCACCCGGTGCGTCAGGCCGGCAGCGAGAGCAGCAGGTGGGCCTCGGGACTGGAACGTGAGGCTACGTCCAAAGGCCAGGCACGTAGGCTGGTTCTGCCACAGTCAGCCATCACAGGGAGTTTCTTGACTTCTCTGAGCCTCGCTTTCTTTGTCTGCAAAATGGGTGTAATGGAAGTCCTCCACTGTGAAGGGAGTTTGTGAACTGCCTTACACTAGTTTTTGTGTCTAATCATCGACAGAGGCAAACATCCATGTGTTGTAGCTCTGATGGCGAGGCTCGGACAGGACGGGAGAGCCAGGAACTGAAACGGTTTTCCCACCTGAGACTCCTCGGGCCCTGCCCTCATCACCACACACAGTGCACGGACAGCTACAGGTCTGTCCTGTCTTCGGAGGAGGCTGCCTTTTCGCACGAGCAGAGCAGAGGCCGGGTGCGGAGCAGGGGCGAGGCGGAGGGGAAGCGGAGACCAGCCAGGGAGAGAATTCGCAATAGCTTAGGGTGAGTTTAGCTCGGGCACAGCCAGTCAGACCATAATGACCCCTTGATCACTATCAATCCGCAGACGTGCTGTTCCTTCTGAACAAGGCCAACAGGATTAAAAAGAAAAATCTTTACAAATCCCACGAAGCCCGAGTGGCGGGTGCCACATAGCTCGACAGGGCTTGGCCAGCCAAGCAGCGCCGCCAGCCAGCCGGGGCAATGGTGCCCAAGTGCCCCGAGAAGGTCTCTGGAGTGCCTCCTTCATGGGGTGCCCAGGCCCCCCGTCCTTGAACTTTCTGAGTTTAGCAGAGAGCGTAGAATCGGAAACCAACACATTTTGTTTTCTGATCATTCACTGCAGGGAAAGGACATTTTGTCTGATAGGACAATGTCATTTCACATGTTCATTTCGGAGGAAGCGCAGGGCTGTTCGTGGTGACTTGGGCGGAGGCTGTCCTGAAACAGCACTTCAGGAAAAGCTCCCTAGGGAGGGAGGGTCGACTTTCAGATGCAGTAGAACCAGAGGAAAGACCCAGTGAGCCCCTTCCCGGGAGCCCAGGCGGATCCTGCTCAGGCTGGGTGGCGTCCTCCGGGCCAGGTCTCCTCGGCAGCCCCCGCTCCTGCTGACCCTCTCTCTAAAGCACCGTTCGGGCGCCTTGCATTCACCTCCAAACCTCCCAGGCACTGGTGAGAACCAGACAGAATAGCAGGTGCTGTCCACCTGGAGGCCCAGGCTGTATTCTGCCACAGACATACTTTCTGGGGCCCACGCGATGATTCCAAGGTACCGGGGAATGTCATGTGGAAATACAGACATCGTATGTTCCTGGGAAAGTCGGAGGATTTGACAACACGCACTCACAAGCCTGCATGACCACAGGGTCAGCCCAGCATGAAGCTGCCCCTCCCCCAGCTGAGGTGAGACTTCAAGGTCATTGGCATTTCCTGCCGGCCCTCCCTCCCTCCCTTTCATCACCTCTCCTCTGAGCATCTATTTGCAACCTCTGATGTACACCTTACGTTTTCTTTTCCTATGTGTTTGCAATTATTTTAGTTAGTGTGTGGTGAAATTTGATTATAAACATTTTGCTTGAGGGGTACCTCGTCACACGTGAAAGGTGATATTTCCCGGGGGGGAGGGTGTTCTGGAGAAGATGTCTTCCTTTCCTCCTTCTTAATAAAATGGTGACAGCCTGGCCCGCGTGGCTTGGTGGTTAGAGCATCAGCACACACCCCGAAGGGTCTCAGGTTTGATGCCTGGTCAAGGGCATGCACCTGGGTTGCAGGTCTGATTCCCAGCCTAGGTCAGGGCACGTACGGGAGGCAAACAATCACTGTCTCTCTCATCGATGTTTCTCTCTCACTCACTCCTCCATCCCTCCCTTCCACTCTCTCTGAAAATCAGTGGGAAAAATATCCTCAGGTAAAGATTAACAAATAAATAAAATAAAACGATGTCAGTATTTAAAGACCCTGGTTTAACTGGATGACGGTGTATTAGGAAATATAAAAATGTGAGCAGAGGCTTTTTATTTGTTTGTTTATATCCTCGCCTGAGGACATTTTTCCATTTCTTTTTGTTCAGGTAGAGTGGGAGGGAGAGAGAGGGAGAGAGAGAGAGAAACATCAATGCGAAAGGGACACATCGAGTGGCCGCCACCCACATGACCCAACCAGGGCCGGGGACAAACTGCAACCGAGGTACGTGCCCTTAACGGGAACCAAACCCGGGTCTCTCTGGACTGCAGGCCAAGGCTCTAACTGCTGAGCCAAACTGGCCAGGGCAGCAGAGGCTTTTTAGATTGCTGGACACAAATTTGTTTGTTGATGATTATGAGACAATACATTGCCCTTCAGTTAGGTGGTGGGTATTTCCTTAAGCCCTTAGTTCATACAGACATTTTTCCTACGGTCCACTGATTTTGGGAAAACTGGGATATGAAACGGTAAACGGGTTTCCATATTGTGAGGCTTCTCAGATATTTTAATGGATAATGTGCACTGTGCCCTGGCTGGTTTGGCTCAGCGGTTAGCGCATCGGCCCGCGGACCAAAAAGACCGGGGTTCATTTCCAGCTAAGGGCACGTGCCTCGGTTGCAGTTCATCCCGGCCCTGGTTGGGGTTGTGCAGGTGGCAGCCAGTCGATGTGTCTCTCACACCGATGTTTCTCTCTCTCTCTCTGTCCCTCCTGCTCTGTCTGAAGATAAATGTAAAACTATCTTCGGGCGAGGATTAGATAGATAGATAGATAGATAGATAGATAGATAGATATAGATATAGAGATATATAGATATATATGCATGCTATGAATGCCCAAGAGGGAAATGTAGGAGGTGACATTTTCCAAATTTGTTTGACTACTGAAACTCTTTTTATTTAATTTTACAAAAACTATCTCAACAGGTGTCTCTGTGAAGGAATCTTTGCGTAAACCCAGCAAGGCACGTATTCAAGTTTCTTTCTGGCTTGACATCAAGTATGTGAGGTGCACAAAAACCAGCAAGGGGTCAGCGTAGTCTTTCTTTCTACTTGGCCTTGCCCATGAATCACTGAGGACAGCACCCTCCTCGGACTTCAACATGTGTCCCTGATGACACGAGAGCCTTTCAGTGGTGTGGCCCACGAGAAGGCGGCAGGCGTGGTAAGCACCCCGGGGCTGACAAACCACCAAGGGAACTCCTGTCTCCAGAGAAAGAAGCCTGAAGAGCGTACACAGACTCCAACCGAGATGTCCGCCCTGTTTTCGGTGGACAGAGCCCCCTCCTCCCACTGGGTGACAATTATTCTAACACTTGCCCAGGGACAACTTGTCAGCTGCCTGCACAGTGTCTGGAAACGAGGCACATGCCGTAAGCAGGTGATGTTTGCAGCTGCGTCTGATCCTGCCTGAGTCTCTCAGCTTGGCTATTGCTTATGACATGAGGTTTCCAGTCCCACCCTCAAGCCCAGCCCACGGAAAGTCCTCTCTCTCATTCCCCTTGACACGGGAAGCAGCTCCCCTCGACCTCATTTCGTCTCTTGTCCTCAAGTTCAGGCTCCACTCTGGCCTTGCCTCTCTGACATTACAAGAAGTAACACTTCTAATGTTCTCCAGTTAGGCTTTTTCCTCCCAGCGGGTGTTGTCCCATTGCTTGTCCTGGAGAGGCCTGGCCATGGCCTCATGTGGCAGCTGCTCAGGCGACCAGAAGAGCCCTGTGGGTTAAGCTCCTCTGTAACGAAGCACCCGCCTGTCCCCTGCTCTGTGTCCGGATGCACACACCTGCGCTGTCCTGCCGCAGACCTGGGCTCGCTCTGCCGTCCGCCTGGGGCGCCTACCGCCCAGCCCCAGCTGGTCAAGTCAGCCCCGCCTGGAGGGCTGCACAGCGGCAGCACCTTTCAGCACCTTTCCCGGTGCCTGGAGCTGACCCCTTCCCCCTTTCCGTTCCCACACCAGGCGGGGTCTTCCTTTGGCCATCACCACGCTTGTCCTCGCTTCACTTTAACCTCAGTTCTCACCCCCGTAAGCCACTCACCTTGGCATCCCTCGTTCTCCTAGTCCTGCGGCCGATGCAGAAACCGCTTTTGGCGAATTCCTTCCGCTACCGCGAGTCCCCCTTTCCAGAGGGCTTTGCGGTACCCTGGGGCATGGGGAGCTCCTCAGAAATACAGGTAATGCAGGTAGAAAAGACGAGGGGACTAAAACCAGTGCTGTGAGCATGGGGAGAGAAAGGCAACAGAAGCTCCTGGAAAGTGAACAGCTGTACGGGAACGCGTAGTGAGCCCGAGGTCCTTGCCACCTGAGCTGTGCTCTCCCAGAGGGAAGGGGGTGCGCCCGCCCCAGCCCCGGTGTGCAGCCCGGGCCCGGCGCTGAGGAGTCCGGCCCCCTGCCAGTTCCTCATGAGGTAGGAGCACTCTTTCCTAGAATATGTGCTCCAAATACCCCCCCTTCCCTTCCCTCCTCCCTCTCCTCTTCCTTCATCATTTCCCTCACCATCAGCCTGTCAAACCCACACAAGTTCCAAAGAGGCTGATGAATGGGCCGAGTACTAGGCGGGGAAGGGAAGGGAAGGGGTTTGTCAGCCCCGTGGCGTGAAAGCGCCTGAGCCTGTTTCCTCGTTTGTGAGCTGAGGAGTGATTTCCTCTGCTGGGTTATTGCAAGGATAGCCAGAGATAAAGGTTAACTCGTATGGGTTTTGCATTTGGTGGGTGCGCCGCAAAGGGGTTCCCTTCCCATGGATGGTGCCCAAAGTCTGTTTCCCCCAAGAACCTTTCATTCTAGACCCTTGAAAGTGCAGGGGCACCGTTTAGAGCCGAGCGTGGTCCCTGTTGATTCTCCAGGGACTGGGTGACACTGGCAAACGGTGCCAGTTAATGTTTAGGAAATATCGACACCGTGCCAGGCACTGTTGCACGTGCTGTGTGATCCGGTCATTTAATCTTTTAGGGCTCTACTTCCAGTGTCCCAGGGGAGGAACGGGGGCTCTGAGAGGCGAGGGACTTCCCAGGGGTACACGCAGGCAGCCCGCAGCCTGCCCAGAGCCCGGCTCGTGGACGCGGTCCTGCCCAGCCGCCCCCGACCTGCGGGCACGCTCCCCTGCGCTGCCCAGGCTGCCTCGCGAGGCTGCCAGAGCCCCGCGTGGAACCCGCGCTGGGTGAACTTGTGGTCCCCCGTCTCCCACACGTACTGCACAGCTGGGTCGTCCCCCCTGCTGTCGTCGCTGCCCCGCCTGAAATGAATGCGGTGCCCTCCGAGTGGTCCTGGCACAGCGGCGTTGCCACCCTCCGGGTGCCCTCACACCAGTGGCTGCTGCCCAGGGCGGCAAGGGACAAGGCCAGGGCGAGGCAGAGGGGGAAGAGGGCCAGCCCCCGCGGCTGCCGGGCCCTGTCCCTGGCTAACTGAGGTGTTCAGTGTCGGGATGAGCAGTGGGCCCCTCCGCCCCCTTCTCCTCACGGTACCGCCCTCCTCAGCCCTGCCATCTGTCATCCTCGCAGTCTGCGATGTGCCCAGGGAGTCGGGGCAGTCCTGCCCGTGGCATTCATGTGCCCGCCTGCAAAAGCAAAGGGCTAGGAAGGGCTCCCATCACGTTCCCCAGGGCATAGAGGGTTAGGAGAGGGTTGGGTCTCGATTTGTGTGTGTGTGTGTGTGTTTATTGTAGCGAAATACACGTAATGTTAAATTGACCAGTAACTATTTTTAAACGCTCAGTTGAGTGAATTCACGTTGTGTAACCCAGAACTCTTCATCTTGCAAAACGGAACCGCTGTACCATTCAATGCTAAGGCCCCTTCCTCCCGCCCCAAGCCCCTGGCGACCACCACGCCACTCTCTGTCTCTACGAATTCGGTCACTCTGGGTATAAGCGGAATTTGCCTTTTTATGACTGGCTTATTTCACTTAGCATAACATCCTCAAGGCTCATCCACATGTACACGTGTCAGAATGTCCTTCCTTTGTCAGGCTGAGTCATATCCTGTTGAGGGGACATACCACATTTTGTTTATCCCCTCATCCGGTGTACACTGGCTTGTTTCCTCCTTCGGCTATTGTAGAGGGTGTTGGTTTTAGGTGGAAGATCAGGGCTGGCTTGGGTGGTTTCGGGGTATAGTCTCCCCATCCTTGCCTTTTGCAGTGAGCAGGGTCCTCAGCCTTAGATTTGGGGACTCTCAAAGTCTGCACTGCCTGTGCCCTGCCCAGCCCCACAAGGAGGGACTGACTTCCTGTTCGAGGGACTCAGGCTGAGGTACAGGCAGCCTACTTGAGGCCTGAGTGCCGTGCGAACAGGAGAGGGTGCTGGCACCCCACGTGGGTGCGGAATTCAGCACTACCTGGGAGCCTCAAAGCTGGCAGGCAGCCCTGGCCGGCTTGCTCAGTGGTTAGAGCATCAGCCCACGGACCGAAGGGTCCAGGATTCGATTCCCGGTCAGGGGCACATACCTGGGTTGCAGGTTAGATCCCTGGCCCCGGTTGGGGTTGTGCAGGAGGCAACCAATAGATGTGTCTCTCACACCAATCTTTGTCTCTCTCTCTCCCCCTTTCACTCTATCTAAAAATCTGGAAAAATATCCTCGGGTGAGGATCAACAAAATAAATAAATGAATAAATAAATAAATAAATAAAAGCTGGCAGGCAGAGCCCTTGGCCCATCAGTCATGACCTTACAAAGGGGCCCTGCAGCAGTGGTGACGGGAGGGGGACTTCAGTTGCTTCTTGGGCAGAGGACATGCGTGGCACCGTGAGGGCAGAGGACACACATGGCACTGTGAGGGCAGAGGACACGTGTGGCACTGTGAGGGCAGAGGACACGCGTGGCACCGTGAGGGCAGAGGACACACGTGGCACCGTGAGGGCAGAGGACACACATGGCACTGTGAGGGCAGAGGACACGTGTGGCACTGTGAGGGCAGAGGACACACGTGGCACCGTGAGGGCAGAGGACACACGTGGCACCGTGAGGGCAGAGGACACACGTGGCACCGTGAGGGCAGAGGACACACATGGCACCGTGAGGGCAGAGGACACATGTGGCACTGTGAGGGCAGAGGGGAGCAGAAGATTTCACGTGACATCTGAAACACACAGGTTCTTGAGTGCGTGTGAAGGGCCCCAGAGAAGACTGAGAATCTACCGCCTGGGCAGGTAGAGAACAGGGCAGTGCCATGTGGGTGAAAATCACTTCCTGCTGAGGAATTGTGCCATCAGGAGCCCAGGGGCCATGAACGTGTGGTTTACCGCGTTTTCTCACCAGGGGGCAACCATCCAGTGGATGGGGAGTCGTGGGTGGCCCCAACCCCTGTACCTTCAGAGAAAAAGGGATTGGACGGAATATTTTCACCAAGCAGGCATCTTCTCTGCCCGCGTGCAGCTTGGAAGACAGCCTTCGACGGGAGGTCACAGAACCTTTACCGCGGGCCAGAGGCGCGGAGCCAGCATCTGGGCTCTTTCCTCTCCCTTTGTCACTCCATCCGCTCTCTGCTGTCCCCGAGAGACGACCACATCGATTCCAGAGGTCACATCCTTAAAATAGTCCATTTGGGAGGGGGGTCTTTGTTCATGATGAGCCTTCATTGCTAAGGTTTGAACTCTTGGAGGTTTTTAGACTTGCAAGGATTTCTGTGAAGGGATGCGCACCTGTTTTCCCCAGCTGTTCAGAATTCGCTCAGATGACCAGGATGAGCTCCTATGGTTCCACTTGAATGGGGAAAAAAAGAGAACCGGTTCTTTTAATCTCCTGCTGACCTGCATTTCATCTAATCAGGAGCCGTCCCCGCTGGGCCTCCAGGTCCCGAGGTTGGGGAGACGTGGAGGGGACCCTGGGAGCTGGACAGAGGGGAGGTGAGAAAGGCCAAGCAGAGCCTGTCAGAGGCACAGTGATGAGGCTACTGGAGAGATGGAACTCATCTAGGGAGTTAGGGTAAGATAAGGCAGCTTACCAAACAGCTGTGGTCAGCTGACTGGTCAGAAGACCTGGGTTAGTATCCTGCCTCTGCCATTTACTTGCTGTGCGGTCTTGGGCAAGCAACCTAACCTCTCTGAACCCGTTTCTCCGCTGTCAAAGGGAGAAAGATCACGCCCTCACAGGGGTATTGTGAGGATGAATGAAACAGGATGTCGGACTGAAACGCTTTTGGAAACGTGCATGTGATGAGGATGTACAAATACGGTAGTTAGGGAGTGGAGGATCACGTGTTCCATAAACGGACCTGCCGGGGGGCTGAATGGCATGTTCGGAAGAGTGGGCAATGGCGAGGAGGGCATACCGGGCTTTCAGCGTGTTGTTTTGCTAATATGTAGCCAGAAGTCAAGTCACTGATTGGGTGTTCGCTTCAGACCCTGGGTCAGGAGCTGCTTTCTCCAGGGCCAGCAGCTGTTTCTCGTGAAGTCTTGGCACATACAGGGCCCAGAGGAGGCTTGGGCACTCGTGGAGGCTGGGCTCAGCCCGACCTGGACAATCTTAATGCCTTAGTAAGAAATGTTTCCGTCACAAAGATGCCCACGGCAGAACTGGCCCGAGGCCCATCCTCTCGGGCCTGCTGTTCCTCAGCAGCTCGAACCCAAGCCAATGGCACCCCGGTCTTGTGTACTGAGCCAGGCCTGGGGCTGGAACCTACGGACCGCCTTGCTTTTCCGCCTTGGCCTCCGCGGAGGACGTCCCAGAAAACACAGCTGACTTGGGGGAGGTCTGGGAAAAATCTCCCTGCCTTTGGGGGAGGGCGGCGGGGGCTGAGCCATGGTTGATGAGAAACTTTGGAGAGTCCGTAGATTGGTCTAGACTGGTTCAGACGCTCTTGACGCGCGTGGAGAGGACTTGTGCAAACACTTCCTCGCTGTACAGAGGAATGCCAGGCGAGGCTGCCGGCGGTACATCTCGGACTGTGAGACACACGAGCCCGCACCTGTGAGAGCGCCCGAGGAAGATGAGGCGGGAACCCAGCAGGGTAGGGCCTGGGGGAAGGAGCGTGGGGGCCTCGGCTGGGGTCCGAGCGCTGCCCACCGGTGTCCCAGTCTGCCCGAGGGCCAGCCCTCTCCCCGCCCGCGGGAAGTGCGCTCTCCAGGCCCCTGCGCGGCCCTTCCTTGCTCTGCTGCTTCTGGTTTCCATCAAGCAAGTAAGAACTGTTTTTATTATTGTTGTTATTCTTATCAGTTGTACATACTTTCTGATTGCAGAAGCCATTCAGGCCTCCTGTAGGCAATTTGGAAAATATTAAACAGTACTAAGATAATAATGATCAACCATAATCTTAGCACTCAGAGGTGATCACTGTTACTATTTTGGCATATTTTCCTCAAATCCTTTTTCCATGCTTTTTTTTTTTTTTTTTTTTTTTACACAGCTGAAATGATGATGCATAAATCATTTTGCATCCTGGCGTCCCCTTTACATCATATTATAAGCATTTCCCACGTCCGTGTGAACTCTGCTAATTGCATTTAAAACCGCAGCATGGACCCTCCTGTCTGCTTTGACTGTCTGTCATGTCTGAGGATTTAGGCGGAATAGATAGCTCTTTTTTTTCTTTTCTTTCCTTTCTCCTCCCTTGCCTCCTTCCTTCTTTTTCTTTCCTTCTTCTTATAAAAATATAGGATGTTCATTGTTTAAAAAAGTAAACTTACAAAATCCAAAGAAGTATGAATACAGACTAGAACTCACCTAATGCCAGCACCCAGAGATCACCCTCAATCACATTTTGGGGCTCATACTTCCAGACGTTTTCTACCATATATATATATATTTTTTTAATAAACAGGATCTTACTATAAATATTATTTTTCAATCTGCTTTTTCTCTCTCAACAAAATACACTATTAACACAGGCTAACATTTGTACTAAACACTTCTGTATTAGGTGCGGTGCCAGGCACCGCCCTTATATGATCTCTTGGCACGCTCTGAGAGCCCTGTGAGGGGAGTTCGTTAATCCCACTTCACAGATGAGAAAGCCAAGCCTTGGGGGGGTAGAGCATTTTTCTCCATCAGTAAACGCAGCTCCATGGCATGAGGTTTGAGGGCTTCAAGGGTGTATTCTAATGCATGCAACCGTTCTCTTTAGTTGGGCATTCTGGTTGCTTGTCTTATTCTCATCCAAGGAGATGGAACCTTTGCTCCTTCCCTTTTCAAGGTTCCATTTTTTTATACAGGGCCGTGATGTGGCGGAGCCCCAGCCCCGTTCATCTGAGTAAAGAAGGTGCCTTGAGGAACGTCCCTTTAATCCTTTGGTCTATGGGCCGCGTCGGATTCTAAACCCGCCCGCCCCCTAGAGGGAGGCAGAGGTGCAAGCTCTCCTGTGGTCCCCTCACGTGGCTTCCTCTGGTGCTAAGGACCAAACAGGCAGGAAACCCGGACCGAATTTTCTGCACCCAGTTCTCTCAGAGCTGCCTTCACGCCCTCACAGCAGACTGTAGACATGAGCCCAGTTTATGGCTTCATGGCATTCTTGCATGGTGGCAGCCTCATGGTTAGGGACCAGAACGTTTCTGAGGGGCAGGTGGCCCTGGCCTGCCTCCTACCCCAGGGCTTACTTGGTTAGTGGTGGGGCCGCTGTTGGGAAAGTTGACACAGAACCCTCACCGTTGCTTCCATTCTGTGTCATATTAAAACTGAGTATATGCAGCTAGTTGTTTAGTTTTGTGCACCTTCTATCCACATCTATATAGTGACGGTCTCCTGGGTGCCGAGCACCGCGGAACTCTGCACTTATAAATCACCTTGCTCAACCCCACAGCCAGCCTCTGAGAAAAGCGTTCTTTCTGAACCCATTTCACAGATGGGCAAATTAAGTTCACAGGAGTTAAATGATCACCAGGGATCTAGCATGTGAGCAGTGGGGCCATTCATTGCGTATTTGAGGAAGTGTGTTCTTTCTTTCTCAGCATCCCTTGGAAGCTGTTGACATACGAATATTTGTGCGTTAAAACAGCAGAACCTGCCCTGGCCGATTTGGCTCAGCGGTTAGAGTGTCGGCCTGCGGTCCAGAGAGACCCGGGTTCGGTTCCCCCTAAGGGCATGTACCTTGGTTGCAGTTAGTCCCCGGCCCTGGTTGGTTGTGCGGGTGGCAGCCACTCGATGTGTCCCTTCACGTCGATGTTTCTCCCTCTCTCTCTCTTCCTCTCTCTCCCTCCCACTCTATCTGAACAAAAAATGGAAAAATGTCCTCGGGTGAGGATAAAAAACAAAAACAAAAACAAAAAACAGCAGAACCTGTGGGGCCTCAGGCCAGCTCATGACATTGACAAAAACTTCCTTTGCTCTGGTGCTTTTATAATCAAACATATGCCTGATAGCACGTCCCCTCCCCTTCTGCCACCCAGTCTGTTTTCCCAACCTCGTCACCCTGTCTGTCCGGCAGAGTGTCTACAATCCCGGTGGTTCTCTGTCTTAAACCCTGGATTCTTCTCCAAATGTTAACATTACAAGGCATTGTATAGATTTTCGTGGTGAATTTTTGTCGTAAATGCTTTCCTCGCGTGAATTATAAATCGCCGTGGTGTGTTTTCTGGCAGGAAGTCTTCATAAAAATCCACTTAATGAGAAATTCTCAGGGATACTTTTGTTTCTAAGTTCAAGCAGGGAAACAATGTCCTTCCCCCTCCTCTCCTCACAATTCATTGAAGCTAATTGGCAGTTACTTGGCATTGAAGCACATAAGCTCTAGGCTATTCAAGAAGTGAATTTGTGGCTCTTTCATACGCTAGTGATGGGATTGTGAAAAGGCAGATATTTTTAAGTTAAGACATTTTTTTGGTGAGGATGGATAGTTTGGCAGTACATTATCAAACCCTTTAAAAATGCATACTGTATGGCCCAGAAATTCCAATTCAAAGCATTTCTCCTAATAAAGATGTGCTCAAATGTTTAACTCTGAAAATTTCCATCACTTAATCATTTATGTTAGCAAACAGCTAAAACAACATAGATGTCCAAAGCTAGAGAATTGAAAAACAAATTATATCACATTCGTCCCTAGAAAATTATGTAGCTGTTAAAGTAGTGTTTTAGTGCTTGAAATGGAAATATATTCACAATGTATCTCCTAGGGAAAAGAGGCTATAGAACAGTATGATTTCCTTTTTGGTTAGAATAAAAAAGAAAAGAAGAGACCTGGCCGTTGTGGCTCAGTGGGTTGAGCATTGTCCTGTGTACCGAAAGGTTGCTGGTTCGATCCTGGTCAGGGCCAATGCTCGGGTTTCGGGCTCAATCTCCTATAGGGTGCATGTAGGAGGCAGCCAAGCCGATAGGTGTTTCTCTCACACATCGATGTTTCTCTCTCTTTTCCTCCCTCTCCCTTTCTTTCTCTCCAAAAATCAATAAAAACATTTTTTTTTTTCAAAAAAGAAAAGAAGAACAAGGATGTATGTGTACAGAGATGATCATTTCTGAGTAATAACATTGTGATTTTACCTTCTCCCTTTTAGCTCATCCGTAATTTTAATTTTATTTCCAACGAAGTATATTCCTTCTGTAACAAATAAGATTAGAAGGTTCACTGAGAGCTAGTCAACAGAAGGCTTTCCCCCAGTTTCCTGAATCCCTCCTCAGCCAAGTTAGTCCTGGATGCTGTTACCGGGGCAAGAAAAAGAGGAGTCAGAATCAACCTGGACTTGCCCAGTGAGGGGACATCACGTACGTGTCTCCTTTCCCACGTCTGTGTTTGCGCCGGGCTGTGGCCGAACTAGGATTCGCCTCTTGTGTTTCTGCCGCCTCTAGGCCACGCCCCTGGGAAGACGCTCTGAGTTCGTGGGCTCTCCTGGGCCGACCAAACTCATTGCTTCAATGTTTCTAATGGTTTGTCTTTTTTTCTGTTTATGAGCATGGCCATTAGTCATGGCAAAGAGCAGGGGGACAGAGGAATGTTAGTCCAGGGACAGCTCACATTCAGGACTGATTTTATTGCCTCTTCAGGTCCCTCTCAGCCAGGTCCCAGTAAGGTCCCCAAGAACACACCCAGTAAGGTCCCCAACAACACACACAGCACACACAAGAAAAAGTCTTACTTTTGTGACTTGGAAGACTCTGGAAGGTTACAATTTGTTTATCAACTTCTCTGCTAAATGTGTAAAGACAACATAGAATTAGTTATGGTCCCAGTAGGGTGTAACACATCCTAATGTGTTAATAAATGTTCATCTTGCCTCTTGGGCCATAATGCAGAGGGATGTATTATTACTGGGGATTCAAAACTCATTAAAAACTGAAGTTAAATGCCAATTATTTCATCATCACTATCACCGTAATTATTATTTATTGGCTAATCCCATGGTTCCCAAACGGAGTGCTAAGGTGCCCCAGGGCACTGCTGTGAATTCACAGGGGTGCTGAAAGACATTTTAATTTTTTTTGTTTTTTGTATTTTTTTTTCATCCTCACCTGAGGACATTTTTCCATTTTTTGTACAGATAGAGTGGGAGGGAGAGAGAGGAAGAGAGAGAGAGAAAGAGAGAGAGAGAGAAACATCAATGTGAAAGGGACACATCGAGTGGCTACCACCCGCACGACCAACCAGGGCCGGGGACAAACTGCAACCGAGGTACGTGCCCTTAGCGGGAACCGAGGAATATTAGTCCAGGGACAGCTCACATTCAGGACTGATTTTATTGCCTCTTCAGGTCCCTCTCAGCCAGGTCCCAGTAAGGTCCCCAAGAACACACCCAGTAACGTCCCCAACAACACACACAGCACACACAAGAAAAAGTCTTACTTTTGTGACTTGGAAGACTCTGGGTCTCTCCGGACCGCAGGCCGACGCACTAACGGCTGAGCCAAACTGGCAGGGCAGACATTTTAATTTTTTGAGGGAAGCAGTGACTCATGACATCTGCCAGATGCTGGGTGAATTACTAGCTCAAGGTAGCTCATGGTTTCAACATTATATCATGCCGCATTCCTTTCGATGATTTGTATTTTTGCAAAGCTGGGTTTTCTGAAGTTACTGTGATAAAGAGCAAGTGCAGCACAAAAATGAATGTGGAAAGGTGGTGGTACCCAGTGTGAGTCTCAGGTCTGAGAAGTTGTGCGATCCCCGAGAGGCACGAAGGGGCTAGGGCGTAAATACTAAGTTATTTGGACCCATCTACTTAATAGGTGAGACTTTAGATATTTCTTTTGCCCTAGGGGTGCTGTGGAATAATTATTGAGACACCAAGAGCACCAGGAATTGAGAAAGTTTGGGACCTACAAGTCTAATGATGACCATACTAATTCTTCGAAAAGTTGGCTGTGTGGTTCTCTGGAAGAAATGCAAAGGAACTAGTCACATACCCCATCATGAATGTTGTAGTATATTGGGGGTGGGGCAACCTGGGCAGAGGGGGGCATAGATGGGACTAATTACTCAGGAAGTGAAAACTGGCTACCAGTTAAGCTTATAGATTTTTTTGTTTGTTTGTTGGTTTTAGTGTGTGTGTGTGTGTGTGTGTGTGTGTGTGTGTGAATACCTCTAGGTGGAGTCTCCCCCCAATTTACAACAGACTCCTCTTCTCCCTGTTGTTATCCTGGTCCTACTTCATTCTTTCAGCTTATCCACCTGGCCAAGAGAGCATTTGGGTGTGTTGCCCCCTGTGAGAGGAGACAAAGCTTCAAAGCCAAGTGACGAACAGGCTGATCTCAGCCCAGATCACATATTTAAACCCTCCCGTGTTCATGTCCCCCTTCCCTGCTCCTCCCCAAGCTGTGCCTCTGTCCCCTTAGCTGGAAAATGAGGGAGAGTGAGGACACGTGCTGGGGCCTTGTGTTCAGAGGTGAAAGGCCGGTCTCAGTCCTCACCGAACGTGCGGGGCAGTGAAGGCGACGGGCAAGGGACCCGCTGACGACAGTCCAGTGTGGTGGGCCACAGGACCCAGTCCTGCATGGGGTCACAAAGCACTGAAAAGAAGGGTTACTGGCCCAAGACGGCCGTGAGAGAGGCGGTCAAGGATGACCAGGGCTGTGAGGCCTGCGTGCAGCCTTGAGCGCGGAGTGGGAAGTGAGCCAGGCGAAGACGCGGGTGGAGGGCAGTGCCGGTGGGCAGCACAGAGACGGGGAGTCATGAAAGGGCAGGGCTGGGTTCGAGAGACCAGGGACGGGGGGGCTGAGTTAAATCTTGAGTCGACACGGCCAAGGGGGCCCTGTGCTCAGTCTGCTGTGGGCCTGTCGCTCTGGAACAGTGTGAAGGGGGCAGGGCACCGGGCCGGAGTGGAGGAGAGGGGGCAGGGTTGAGAAGAGACACTGTAGGAGGACAGGTGCCTAGGTGGGTGTGGGGGAGGGCAGGGGAGGAGCAGAGGACTGGCTTCTGGTGTGTGGCTGAGACGACAGGGGGCAGTGCTGAGCCACCAGGGCAAGAGCCTGCTGGGAAGTGGGGCAACGGTCAGAATGTCCCTTGGCTTTGTGTGTCGGCCAATACCTACAGCTGACCCTGAGCAAGATGGGCGTGAACTGCGTGGATCCACGTATACGTGGTGTTTTAGAAATGAATCCCTGGACTGTTTTGCTCCGCAGTCGAGGGCGGACTGTGTGTGTTGACCCATGTCGTTTTATACACGGGACGTGAAGGTCCGCAGAGCCCGGCGTCTGCTGGGGGTTCTGGAACCAGTCCCCAGAAGACACCAGGGGACTGCTAAGTTTTGGGAGAATCAAAAGTTATACATGGACTTTTGACTGACCGGGGCGAGATGTCGGCACCCCTGACCCCCGCGTGTTCAAGGGTCAACCGTAGTTGCCTTCTTTCGAGCGGCTTCTAAGTCCTTTAGGGCAGAGACTGTGTCTTTCTCATGTTTGTGTCCCCTCCCCGCCTCCCCACTGCAAAAACCAGCACACAGTAAGTGCTCAATAAAAATGAGTAACTTGAAGAAGAAAAATCCCCTTTTAAAGCCCAAAGAAGTGGTACAGATACACAATTAGAAGTTGATAGCCCAATTACCGTAAGGCCCCCAAAGTATATTCAGCATATCTAAGGTTCTATGAGATGAGACAGTTAATGTCAGAAGGAAAAAAAATTCCTAAGCTTCAGTTCAGTAGCAGAGCATCTGTCTGCCCAAGGATGTTGACTCTGGACCCACAGGCACAGATGGGGGAGGGTGTAGACACTGAGGTGGGAAGGTGCAGACACAGGGGTGGAGGGTGCAGGCACAGAGGGGGGAGGGTGCAGGCACAGGGGGGGAGGGTGCAGGCACAGAGGGGGAGGGTGCAGGTATAGAGGTGGGAGGGTGCAGGCACAGAGGGGGGCGGGTGCAGGCACAGATGGGGGAGGGTGCAGGCACAGAGGGGGAGGGTGCAGGTATAGAGGTGGGAGGGTGCAGGCACTGAAGGAGAGGGTACAGGCACTGAGGGGGGAGGGTGCAGGCACAGAGGGGGGAGGGTGAAGGCACAGAGGGGGAGGGTGCAGGTATAGAGGTGGGAGGGTGCAGGCACAGAGGGGGAGGGTGCAGGTATAGAGGTGGGAGGGTGCAGGCACAGAGGGGGGAGGGTGCAGGCAGCATGGAGGCTGGATGGTACAGGTCTCTGCAGTTCCTCTGGCCCTTCTCTGACCCATGATTGACCCTCTTTGTGTGCTGCTCCTCCCTGGCATCTGCCTGGTCTCAGAAGCAGGCCACTGTCTGTCTGGTAGAATGTGAAAGTTCAGGATGAGCATATTGCACCCTCGTGGAATGTCAGTCTCCCTTGAAGATTCTGAAAGAAAAGTCTTTCTTAGTTGCATTAAAACCAATATAATTAGGTGACGGTGTAAATATAAAATTTATATGTATCTTTTAAATAGAACATAAGATGCCAAAGAAATGCCATTTCCTGGTGCAGGCCATTATGGGCGCTTCAGTGGCAAGGTTGGAGAAGAATGTACGAGACGGTCCCAAGGCCACCTCTGTGCTTGCAGCCAATTGGGGGTCACCATCGTATTTTCTGCTCAGGTTGCAGGATCTCTCCTTGAGAAGACAACTCGAAAGTGGGCTCAGTACAAAGAGAAGTGCCTGAGAGACTTGCTCAAAGAACCTTCTGGTAAGCACACGTATTGGTTATTTATGGCTGTGTGACACGTGGTCCCAGAGCTTAGAGGCTTAACACAACAATAATCCTTTGCCATCTCTCAGTTTCTGGGGGTCAGGAATTCAGACCGAGCGCTGGGGAGCGCTCGTTTCTGCTCTACAACGTCTGGACTGTGGTTGGGAGACTCAAAAGCTGGGGGCTGAAATCATCCGAAGTCTTGTTCATACTCGTGTCTGCTGGCTGACGCTGGCCCTCAGCTGAGTTGACCTGGGAATGTTGGCCAGGGCACTGCCACGTGGCCTGTCCATGCGACCTGTCCACGCGGCCTGTCCACACGGCCTGGGCTTCCTCACAGCATGCTGGCTGGGTTCCCAGGGCGAGCGTGACCAGAGGCCAGGTTGCCATTTATGGCTGAGCCTCCGAAGTCACTTCTGCGACATTCAGTTGGTCAGACAGAGGTTACCCGGGTTCCCGGGGAGGGACCCCCACCTCTCACTGTAAAAGAGCATGTGAGGGGGTCCATCACTTGTGGCCATCTCCGGTGAAAGCCACCTGCCACAGCGCACTCACCACCCAATCACATAACTTGAGCAGCTGTCGTAGAGTGACCTGGGGTCTACCGGGGGTGTGCGGGGTGGGGTGGGTGTCCTCAGTCTCGGGGGGAACTGAAGCTCAGCCGTATTACTATCCAGGGCCACGCTAGGTTCAGAGCATTCTAGCAAATGTGTTAATAGTTTGGTCAGCCCGTAGCCTCTCCTGCCCACAGACTGACTTTCTGGGTGTGTCCAAAATTTTTTTTAAAAAAAAAACAAGAATAAGGGGCACTGGCTCGTGGCCTCTGGGCACTGGGGATTGGGTGGAAGCTGCTCCCTCCTTGTTTCCTCAGCTTCTTTCAGACCATGTCACTCAGGGGCCACTATAAACTCTCTGCTCCTTTTCCTGACCCAAAGGCAGGGCCGGCCTCAGACCACACCCTTCTCCCTGCACCTGTCCCTCCAGCCCAGGCAGGCGGCCACCAAGGCTTGAGCTGTTACGAGAAGCATCTCCCGCTTCGGGGAAGAACGCTTTGTGAGGTCCACACAGAGCAGGTCCCCTTCCCCCGGAGCCAGGCCGTGAGCAGCTCAGCACCGCTCACACAGATGGGGTGCTGACACCCGGAGCCAGGTCCGCCGGGATCTGCATTTGCAGGGTCCCAGTGCCAGTACCCTGGCTGTTCACCCTGAGTTCTAGCCTAGTGGGGAGCAGATGGTGGGGGTGATGCTTGCTTCTGGGGAGTGACGAGCCTGCAAAATAGACATTTGGGATCCACTCTGGAAGCCCTTCATTTGACTGTGGGAAGCCTGTAAGGCTGGGGCTTATGTTTGTAGCTTCTCGTCACCAAGCGCTGGGGTGCACATCACTCCCTGAGCTTGAGATGGCCCAGATGTTTCCTGATGATCAACAGATGAGTGTTCACGTGGAGAAACGTGACCGGGCAGTGCTCGTGTCGGGTGCTATGACAAAAACTTCGACTCTGGAGATGCCCTTATGTCCACCGGTCCCTTTGCACATTTCACAGGAAGGGTGTTCCGGGGTCTCAATGGTGAAGGTTTGACAAGTATTGAGTTAATTAATGGACATGAGATGCTGGCTGAACCTCCCAGTGTCCTCCTGACCCTAAGTTTCTGTGGGAGTTCAGTTCAAGTAATGTAAACCAAAGTCAACCTGACGAGCATGTTGACGTCATTGACGAGACCAGTGCCAGAGGTCAAGTTGGCTAGACAAAGCCACAGTGCTTGGGGCTGCGTTAAGCATTCCTGTCCTCAGCACGTGGCTCCTCATCCTTGACCCGTCTGGAGAGTGGGATGCCCGTGCTGTCCCTGGGCAGGTTACTACAGCTTGGATGCCCAGAAGGCGGGCTCTGGGCTCCCGGTGCCTCTGTCTCCACCAGGGGGCGCCACGCTCCAACCCTGTTGTTCACTGGGCCCTTCTCTCCCCAGGCATGCATTGTAACGGAACCTTCGATCAGTACGTATGCTGGCCTCATTCTTCTCCGGGAAATGTTTCCGTCCCCTGCCCTTCGTACTTGCCTTGGTGGCGTGAAGGTAATGTCTTATTTTACCAATTTGTGACAGTTTCCTTAAAGGCTGGTCCCTCCTGACACACCAGCCAGGGGGCAGTTAGAGAAACAGCTCCCGCCAAGTGCTTTTCTCGTCATCTTCTCCCACCAAAGATTTCCTTCTAAGCTGGCGGTGATACCCATTCCTTCTTTTCTCTGCTTCTCCTACCTCCCTGCCCTTCTTCTGTGCTGGATGTCTGCTATAGAATAGTCCCCTTTGCTTTGCGATGATAGGGTGCAGGCCTGGCTGCCACAGAATTCGCTGCAGTGAGGCTAAGAATTAGCCCCGTCATGCAGAGGACAAAGAGGTGGGGGAGAGATGGGATGCTCGCATCCATGCAATCTTGGCTGGTCAGATAAAGAGGAAGTACATCAGAATCATCCTGGCAACGGCATTGGAAGGAAGTGCTGTTGAACTGGTGTTTTAAGCCCCATGGGACTTGGATGGCGAGTCGAACCGCTCAGCTCGCCCTGATCCTGCTTAAAGGAAGTGACCAGTGTCCCAGGATCATATCCCACCCCACCTGCCTCAGCAATCAGCCTCTTGGCTGTTTCACTGGAAGGAGAAAGGACCAATTACTGGTTAGGATGGTTTTGCCTTAGATCAAAGACCATGGAGAAATCTAAGAACAGGTAAAACCTTGAAAGCTGTTCTCAAGAAATACAAGCAGTTACTAAGTTCCAGGCCAAACAAAGTGAGAACGGGTTTCTGAGAAGGCTCGATGGGGCTATTTGATATTTCATTTCAGCCCCAGAAGTGGTCACGTCAGTTAAAATTTGGTTTCAATTTTTTGAGGACTCTCGTGCCAAGGGAGAGTTTTCAAGGAAGAGGCATTTCTGGGCGGGAGTGCTCATAGAATCGTCCTCTGGGAGATCCGGTTAGAACCAGCGCAGGAGACGTGAGGGTCACGAAGGGAAGGTGAAGGGAGAGATACTGGGGAGCTGGCTGGACCGGAGGGTTCGGCTTGGTGAGGAGTAAAGAGCACTGGACACCGAGTCAGGAGCCCTGAGGTTAGATCCCACCCCTCTATTCTGGCAAATCGCCAGAGCCCCCTGAGCTGTGGTTTTCTTGTCTGCAATAGCCAACCCTTAAGGTCACCTTGAGGGATAAGTGAGAAGACACGCACTGAGCCAGCCACTCAGCAGGTGATTCGTAAATGGCAGCTGAGGCTGACACCGAGTTCCAGCTCCCTGGACCCCTCCAGGTCCTTCAGGCCCCATGTGTGCATGGACTCCCCGGGGGCACGTGCACGAGACCACCACTGCTCCGTCGGCCTGGTCCTTCCCCGGAGCTAAAGACAGAGGCCCGTTGCACCTAAGAGAAAAAGTGATCCCAAATTCAAACTTACAAAGAGATGGAGTTAAGACTTAGAAACGTGAGTTGTGGGCTTCTTGAATGTACTAAAGGGAATGCGGTTCGCAAAAGGTTCCCACTCAACCTTTTGTGTGTTAAATCTTTATCACCCTAATGGGTTCCTGCAGTAGTCGGAAAGCGTGGAGGGTTAGAGAGGAAGGAGTGGAGAAGCGTTCTTGTTTTTGTTTTTTTTTAGAGAGAGAGGAAGGGAGAGAGAGAAATATCGATTGGCCGCCTCCTGCATGGCCCCCTACTAGGGATTTGGCCCACAACCTGGGCATGTGCCCTGACCGGGAATCGAACCGGTGACCTCTTGGTGCATGTGTTGACGCTCAGCCACTGAACCACACTGGCTGGGTGAGAAGCATTCTTATAAGATAAGGCCAGAGGAAGGAGCCTTGAGCCTGTGTAGCGGCGGGTACTGGCTCTAGCGGCAGGAGACTGAGGATGAGGCTGGACCCGAGTGCAGGAGATCGTGTGTTACCCTGAGGGTTTAACTTTCCTCCGTAGAGGAAGACACGCAGAGCTGCTGAAGGTGTTCAGGCATGAGAGGGACATAGGTTTGCAGAGCGGGGAGATGACCGAGGTAGCCTGTGGCTGCTGAACGGGCATGGAGGGGGTCAGGGAAGCAAGCCTGGGGGCTACCTCAGTGGTTCAGAAAAAGAGATGGTGAGGGTGCGGACTCAGGAAGAGGCAAGAGGTTGGAGAGGAGAAGAAAGAGTTAAAAACATACTGGAGATAGAACAGTCAAGATGTCATCAGGGGAGTGTTGAGGGACAGAGAGGACTGGGAAATGGAGGAGAGAAAAACATCCCTACGTTCCTTCTGGTCCCCCAGCACCCCTCGTCCAGCTAGCAGCCAAGTCCCCCGGCCCCTCTTCCCTTACACTCCACACTGCTCATCTTCACTCTCGGCTGTTGCTCCTCCATGTCCCAGTCCCCGCCTCAGGCCTGGCCCCCTTCCAACCACCTCCACGGAGTTCTCGCAAATGCACGTTGGGTTATGTTGGCCCCTCACCAACACTGCTAACTGGTGCTCAGGACCTCCCGTCTCCAGGCCCTGCTGACCTGCATTCCCTCATCTGCACTCCAGCCAAATAAGCAACCCCAGGCCCCTACACCTGCCGGCCATCCCCACCCAGTGCCTTTGCCACACCTTTCTGTCTGTAAACCCAACTCTAATCCTCAGCTCGAAAGTTTCTTCTAGAACATTTCTTGAAATGCTCCCCACAGGAGCATTGGCCCTGCCTTTCTGAGGCCTCTGGGGCTCCTGTGAGCCTCCACCGGAACATTTGCAGCTCTCGATGACGCTGTCTCTGCACGTCCGCCCCCTCCGAGACCGGGGCTGTGTCTATTGTCTGTGCATCTCCGGCCCAGCGGCTCTGGCCGGCACGGAGAACAGTCCGCCGACGTTACTGGCTTTCACTCATGCCACAAATATTGACTGAAGACCTACTGTGTGCCGGGCCTTGTTGTCATTGCTTAGGCTAGATGAGTGACCACGAACAGAATAAAATCCCTCTCCTGTGGGGCTCCCATTCCAGCAACAGATAAACCGTAAGCAAGAACTGTCACACCTCAGTCAAGTGTAGGGTGTGTTTGAATGTGATGTCTTTTAAACAGGAGGGGAGGGAAGCAGATGGGGAGGTGGGAATGGCCTTTAAGAAAGGTGGTGTTTTCGTGAAAACGTAAAGGAGGTAAGGGATTCAGCCCATAGGGGAAGGGTGGTCAGCAGGGAAGGAGCCCGTGAGTGCAAATTGTGCGCTATTTGGGCAGATGTCTGGTGCACCCCACTGAGAGCAAGCAGGGCAGCAGGAGGAGGTGGGGTCCGAGAGCTCTGGGGCAGACCTTCCAGGACTCTGTGGGGGGCCGCGAGGACTCGGACTTGTGCTTAGCGAGCCCTTGGACGACTCTCATGAGGCATCCCGTGGCGTGACCGACATTTGGTTAAGCTCGTGCTGACTGCTGGGGAAGCTGTGGCCCGTGATATCGGAGGCACTCACAGCAGCCCCGGGGACAGACAGCGTGTCCCTTTAGGGGCTAGCAGGAGGTGGAAAGCGGCAGTGGATTCGGGATGTAGCTGAAGGTAGAGACAGCAGGATGGGCTGACGGACCAGATGACGGGTATGACAGACAGAAAAAAACCAGGAATCGGGACCAGAGTGCTAGGAAGTTGGGTTCGCCGTCAGCTGAGGCGGGCACCTGCGGGTGGAGCAGGTGTGAGGAGAAGATGAAGAGTTTGGTTTAGGGAGTGCTGCTTGAGAGGTCAGACACCCTAGTAAAGCTGCCAGGGGGGCAGGTAGCAGCACCGGGGGGGATCGATCACCTGAATTCAGCAAATGGTTGTTGCTGAGCCCTGCATGCAGAGCCGGGAGTGGGAAGTTCCAACCAGTTTCAGTTTCCCCTCTGCAAGCCCAGTGCCTGGTTGTCCAGGTAGCAGGACCGTCCCTCTGGGGACGGGCTCCTGGAACAGCCGTGACTGAGTCACCACGGCCGTCGTCCTGGGCAGAGCACCTTGCCTGTCACGTGCACCCACACACCCTCGCGTGACCTCCCCGGACTGCGGGGGTCGGTGCCGTCATCGGCCCTGGCTCTGATAAAGAAACCGAAGGCACAGAGAGTGGGGGGCTGGGCCCCAGGCCACAGAGGCTGTCAGAGCAGAGCAGGTTCGCCCCCCGCCCCCGCGTTCTTTCCGCGGACTGCCTCTTGAGCATCAGGAAGAGATGCCCCTCTGCGCACATGCCAGGAGCCCCAGCTGGCCTGGCCTTGGAGAGCTCACCTCTCTGAGTCACCGGGGCTGCTCCAGCTCCAGACTTGGGTAAACACAGCAGCCGTCGGCGGATCAGGGCTTCTCAGGAAATGTAGAGGCTTTCATGTTGTCCTTCCCTCCCAAATAAACAGTGTGGATGCTAGCAAGCCCCCCTCCAAGGGAAGTAAGAACCCCCTTTCCCCGGGATTTTCCACGGCTTTGCGGGGAGGGCCAGGGCCTCCTGCTGCGCTGACCTTTCGCCCAGAGCCGTGTTTACTTGCAGAGAGCTCGGGAAGGGCCTACAGACACTGCCTGGCTCGGGGCGCCTGGCGGACGCTGGAGAACTCCACGGACATCTGGCAGGATGACTCCGAGTGCTCCGAGAACCACAGCTTCAAAGAAAACGTGAGTCCCCTTGGCTCCCAGAGGACGACCGCCACCTCGCCACCCCCACCAAGGCCCTACGCGGCCGGTTGGCTTCAGCGGCCCTACAGAGAGCCTTCCCACGGCTTTCTGCCCCCAATCACCAAGGGAAGGTCCCCAGTCACACAAAACAGCACCCCTGCGGCAGCCATGGAATTTCTTCTACTGCAAGGGGGAAATGTGAACCCTACAAGGGAAGCCAGCCTTTCCGCGTGGGGCCCGGCCTTTGCCTGGAACACCTCTGCTCGGCTCTACCCTTCGGGGGTCGGGCCCACGTCTCCTTCAGAGCGAATCTTCCGTGGCCACCCCATCAAGAGTGGCCACTGCTCCCCGGTCACTCTCTGCACACTCCTATGTCTGCTTATCTGCCACCCAGGCCTCGCGTTAGACAGTGGACTCAGGGTGCAGGAGGCGTGGGCCTGGGGGGGCACACTCTGAACACAGGGGCTCCGCACGGAGGCTCGAGGCCCAGACAGCCCGATTTCCTGTTCAGACTGGTTCCTAGCTCTCACACCCAGACCCTGCACCTCTCTGTGACCCCGCTTCCCATCCATCCCATAGTGTTACACAGACACGATTGCTAATAGGCGTACAGTTCTGCAGAGAGACCCTGACCCCGAGTCAGCACACCTGTGTAGGAGCGACTGCTCTGTCCCCGGGGGCCAGCACCCACACTGAGCAGCCAGTCATCACCCAGCTCAGCAGACGCTCGTCGGGCGGACGGACCAGTCTGTGCTTCCGACTCCCACCCACGCGGTTTCCTCCCGGGACCCTATTCTGCATCCCCTCAGGCACAGCTCTTCTCCCGCACCCCTGTCTGTCCATGTCCCACCCGCTTCCTGCAGAGTGCAGAGTGGATGGGAGCGTGGGCAGGCCAGAAGGTGCTCGGGGATCAGACAGGCGTCTAGGGCCACCTCTTGGTTTCTCCCAGCCAGACGCGAAGTGCCCACTGTGCGCTCGAGTTTTGCGCTGGCCGCTGGGATAGACAGTAAGACGCAGATGTTGCCTTCAAGGATCTTCGAGTCTCAGGTGGCCTCGGGACAAGGGAGGGTCTCTCGAGATGCCACCTTAGGGAGCTAGGGCTTGGCGCGGTTGCAAAAGGGAGGGACATAACTCTGAGTAGACTTCCAAAGGACGGCTCTGTCACATCGGAGAGAGGGGCAGGAATGGGGCTGCGGAGGCAGGGAGACCGGGAAGGAGGCATTGCAGGAACTCAGCCCAGACAGAGAGGGCGCGACAGTGGGGTGCAGAGAAGGAGGGGCTGGGTTTCCGGTTCCCCCGAGGGGAAGTAGTGTGATCATATGCTAGGGGGCAGTGAGACAGTAGAGTCAAGGGGCTTGGGCCCCCAGGGAGCTTCGAAATGCCCCTCAGTGAGACAGAGACAAGGACGAGTCCTTGCCCTTTTGTCGGTCCTGGGTTCTAGATATTTCGAGACTACTTCTGCATTCTTTGTCCTAGCTGCAGGCCGCAAGCCTCACACTGCCCTTGCCCCCGCCCCTGCCCCCATGGGGCTCATTTTTCTTATCGTGTAGATAGAGTGAGAAATGTAGTGTGGTTTTCTTTTCTTCTTCTTTTTTTAAAAAAATATTTTTCTTTATTAATTTTAGAGAAAGAAGAAGGGAGAAGGAGAGAGAGATGGAAACATCGATGAGAGAGAGCATTGATTGGCCGCCTCCTGCATGCCCCCCACTGGGGATCAGGCCCACAGCCTGGGCATGTGTCCTGACTGGGAATTGGACTGGTGACCTCTTGGTGCAGGGGTCCACACTCAACCACTAGGCGCACTGGCTGGGCTACTGTGGTTTTCTTGTTGTTTTAATATGTTCCCATCGGATGCTATAGACATTTTAATGAAGTTTGGGGATATGGGCGAGGTAAGGAGTTCAGTCCTGGAAACACTGTGACTTAAGCCACAGAACGTCTCTCCAAGCGTCCACGAAATGGGGTGGATAATGCCAACGCTGCACAGGCTAGTGCGGAGGTGTGTCAGGACAGTGGGTGCCACGTCCTGGCACCCGCTGGGCACTGGACAGCTACCATTACTGCATTCGGTCTCCTCAGAATGTCTTCCCTGGTCCCCGACAAACAGTTCTCTCTCCTGGGCCTCCCTTTCACCCACTCTGAGGGCAATGATCACAGCCCCTTGTCAATGTGTTTGTTTTTATTTTTAATTTTTTTTTATTTCTTACCCAAGGATATTTTTCTATTTGTCATTAGATAGAATGGGAGGGAGCGAGAGAGAGAGACAGAGAGAAACATCGATGTGATAGAGCCACATCGATTGGTTGCCTCCCACACAACCTGACCAGGGCCAGGGACAAACTGCAACTGAGGTACGTGCCCTTGACTGGAGTCGAACCCGCAACTCATTGGTCCGTGGGTCGACACTCTAACCACTGAGCCAAACCGGCCAGGGCTGTCAATGTGTTTTTGGTGTCTGAGTGGACTTTTTGAATTTATTTTTAGATATATAACATTTCGTTGACTTTCAAAAATAAAATAAAATAATTTTCTGTTAAGGTACATAAAAATATGTAAAATTTCATACCATCAAAAAGGCCTTTGATTAATTTTGTGCCACTTACAAACTGGTAACTTCAACGCCCTTTTTCATTTCAGGCTGTATTAATACATTTAAAATATTAGATGCTTCAGATATTTTAAATAGAACAAGCAGATCTTCTTTAATTCTTAAATAATCCTAGTTCATTGAATGCATCAAACTAATCTGGTGAGTCTTAAATGAGTCAATACTGATTTCAATTTAAACGTAGCCAAGTACTTATTGACATATTTCAGACTGGAGTCATTACTCCTTCGAATCCTCTGACATGCTATGTTCTCTAAGCAGTAACACCGATTACATACAGATTGTCAAAAAAATTTTAAAAGCCTCTGTATGAGAGATAAATAGAAAGATGAACATGGAATGATGCCAAGTAAAGTGTTGTGGGATCTAGGTGGTGGGTGTGCAGGTGTTCCTCATAAAATCCTTTGATTTCACTGTCTGTTTGACCATCCCGGTTGTGGCTCACTTCCTTCGTGCCTAGGGGAGTCGGCGTGCCCAGGTCTGTGCCAGCTTCCCATGGGGCACGAACAGCCTTCCCACGGGGCATGAACAGCCTTCCCACGGGGCACGAACAGCCTTCCCATGAGGTATGAGAGCCTTCCCATAGGGCATGAGAGCCTTCCATTTTGTCCTCTTCATCCACAGGAAATTCCTTCTACACCTCTTTTTAACTGTATTACTTGATATTAGTTGACAAACTTCTGTGTTTTTTATACAGTTTTACCATGTGACAGGTCACACCTCTTAAAGGTATTTAAATGAGCCCTATCTGGTTTTGCTCAGTGGTTAGAGCATTGGCCCATGGACCGAGGGGTCTTGGGTTCGATTCCTGGCCCCAGTCCGGGTCGTGCAGGAGGCAACCAGTCGATGTCTCTGTCACGTCAATGTTTCTCTCTCTCTCCCCCTTCTTCCCTTCTACTCTATTTAAAAATCAGTGGAAAAATATCCTTGGGTGAGGATTAACACAAAGAAAAAGGTATTAAAATGATGACTGTGGCTGAATTGGATTCAGTTTATCTCAAGCGTTTGTCTGACTTTCATCAGGACACCAGACTCATGCCAACTGCGTGGCTTGAATTAGGCAAATTATATGTATCTCTTATCTTCCCTCCTGGACTAAGCTACTTGAGAACAATGACCAAATCATAGTAATATCCGAATACCGCCCCTGCCTCCGGCCTAGTACCGAGATACACAAAAGCCTTTGCATACAGTAGGTGCATAATAAATACTGAATACATGGTTTCACAGATTCTGAGTCAATGGGTCTGTGGTGAGCCTAGGAGTCCATCCTGGTGCTTAAGTTCCCCGGGTGACTGTGCTGTCACCTGGGAGCTGAGGCTGGGAGCCGAGGCCCGAAGGAAGACGTCACCCGCAGGTGTGAGGTGCCTGCTGCCTCCTCTGGGCTCAGGTCTGCAGCGGCCAAAGTCAGCGGACACACACAACCAAACAAGATTTGCAAACTGTACTTTCCTAGACAGGAAGTAAAGATTTCTCTCTTTAGAAAAGTGAGGACTAGGGCATAGCCTCCCCCAACCCCCCTGAAAATGGCCGTATTTTGAAGAATTCAAATGTTTAAAGAAACCCAACAACTTCTGGCCATGTTTACCTGTGTTTCTAATAGAGGTTTGAACTCTTGCCCAAAAAACGCTAGTGTTACTAAATCTTTGCCCTTCAGAGTTTTGGCAAACAAAATGTTATGTTCTTCCAACTGACAACACGCTGGGGGTCCTTACCCACATCAAAAGTTTCTTTTTAAAGAGACTGTGTATGTGTGCATGCTCGTATGTGTGTACACATACATAAGTACTAACAATTCTGTTTAGATTCCTTGGTATAGAATTGTGTTTAGCAGTGTTTAAATAAATTGTTATCTTGCCTTACTTGAAGCTGTTTTCTTTGCCCTTATAAAGATCATTTCTATTATCAAATACAAAATTAAATTGCTATATATGTTATAATTTTAATTTTAATGACAACTTTTTATTTTCAGTATAACCTATAATATCTAGTAAAATGAATATATATCTATTTTTCCAATATTTTATTTTGAAATATCCAAACATAGAAAAGTTAAAAGAATAACAAACGCTCATAGGTTCACAGTCTGGATTCAGCATTTCGCCACATTTGCTTTCTCTCTCTCTCTTTCTGAAATATTTAAAGATAATTGGCAGACATCATAAGATTTTGCCCCTAAATATTCATCATGTACTTCCTAATTTTAAGAAACGTATTCCATATAACTATAATGCCATTGTTCCAAATAAATAAAATAAACAATAATTTCATCATATCCACTAATGTTTCCCCAATTGTTCTCCCCCACTCTACCCAATTTTTGTAGCTTGTCTTCCCTGGACCAGCATCTAATTCAGGCTCATATATTGCATTTTGTTTTTATATTACTTCA